GGCTGTTTATTCCTCATCGTCCTCTCCTATGTCTTCATCGTGGCCGCCATATTGCAGATCCCCTCTGCTGAGGGCAGGCACAAGACCTTCTCCACATGTGTGTCCCACCTCACGGTGGTCATTGTGCACTACGGCTTTGCCTCCATTATCTACCTCAAGCCCAAGGGCCCCCATTCTATGGACAGTAACACCCTGATGGCCACCACCTATATAGTCTTCACCCCCTTTCTCAGTCCGATCATTTTCAGCCTCAGGAATAAGGAGCTCAAGAACGCCATAAAGAAAAGCTTCCAGAGAAAATTCAGTCCCTTAAGCTCCTGACACTGGAGGAGACATGGTGGTGAGGAAATATGACAGAAGGGCTGAAAATAATAACATGTCTCCATAGGACTATTGTAGGGATTCAATATAGTAAATACTGAAAAGATATTGTTGGATGCACCCATAGGTGTTGGATACCTGCTAGGTATTTTTTTTCCCCAATTTGTGTGCTCCCCTCTTGCATAGGCTCTAGGGATCATGATCTCTTATTTAAGACCCCATGTGATCAATTCTATCCCATTACTTCTGTCTAAGAATGTGTTATCTACCTATGGGCCGGTGGGGGGTATCACATGGATATACCTGGGCACTGATGCCAATGGTTCTTGAATGGACAAGCAAAGGAGGATTTTCCCGTCTTCCTCTATAAGGATAAACAACAATAAGCATAATAATAAATGCCACCATCATCAGGACTTTTCCTATCAGGGTCTGTGCCCAGTGTTGTATAAGCATATATTTTAATTACGCCAAGTGCACGAAAGAAAATACATTATTTCCGTCCAAGAAGATGACTGAATGTGTATAGTTCCTTCTGTGTTTTGAGGGGATAGACTTGATGGAGATTTTCTGTTGAGCTGAGTCGAGTGACGGATGTCAGAAGGCAAAGTGGAGAAAGAGAGAGACAGGAAAAGGAGAGAGGGTTCAGTGCTTGAGTAACGACATATACAATGTTTAAAGGGTGTGGCTATCTGACATCTTAAGGAGATCCTTTTACCTTTTCCCCCATACGCTTTCAGTAAAACATCAATTTGTCACTACTATGTTTGCTTGCAGCTATCTGGAGGATGTGTTGGATGGCACAGTGCTATCTCAAGATGGCACAAAGAAAGGTCAAGGGTGTGGGTACCTCCTTTATGCTGACGACAAATGTTGGTGGGGGTCACACAACATGTGAGTGAAGGGGTCACATGCAACTTTAGGTGCGTCTGACTCCCATGCTGGGGTTGGGAAACCATGTCTGAAGCTCCAGGAGGGGGCCTTCCATTGGTGTAAATTCTTACTTAAACTGTGGTCAGATATTTGAGCTGCAGTCAGAAGATGTTTTACAATACTAATCTAAGGATGGCTGCCACATATGAGTACCTGCCACTTGCTAAATGCTGTGGGAAGTGTTTCCTATGCATTCACTCTTCTAAGTCTCAAAATAAATTATCCTTTCTCCACGTTTAGATATGACCCACATCTATCATTAATCACATTTTTGAAATTCAAAAAATGCAAATCTGTCACAGGCCACAGCACCATGGAGGCAGGGAGCAGGAATCGAATACAATGTGCATGTGTGTGCAGTTGGTGATCAGGAACCTGCCTCTCTCAGGTGTCTACAGAGAGAAGTGAGGTCATGACTAGGAGGAGAAGGCTGTCATTAGAAGGAAGAGAATCCTTTCAGGGAAGGAGGGCAGGTGCAGCCCTAGGTACACACCCGTTTCACACAGCCAGAGGGAAACACAGACTCCAGAGGAGTTCATGAGACACTTTTTCTCATGAACGCTGACAACGAGAGCTTGGCAAAACCGGCTACGGCAGTTTTGGGG